CGAAGAATGTGGAGCTGGAGTGGATCGCCGAGGGACACCGAAGAGCCGTCATCGTCGCCGGAAAGCGAGATTATCCGGGGGGAAAATTACGAAAAGTAGGGGTGGCGTCTGGTCAGGACGCCGCCACCATGGCTGTGGCGTCCTGGCCAGAAGCCGCCACCATGGTTGTGGCGCCCTGGCCAGACGCCGCCACCATGGCTGTGGCGTCCTGGCCAGACGCCACCCCTACTTTTTGTAATTTTTTTTTTTTTTTGTAATTTGTTATTTTTTTATTTATTTTTTTTTCTTTTTTTTTTGTAATTTTATTTAAACTTTTTGTAATTTTTTTTAAATTTTATTTAAAGTTTTTGTTTTTTTTAATTAAACATTAACACAAAAAATTCTGATTTAAAAAATATATATATACATTAGAAATAAAAACATTAACACATAAAACAAAAATATTAAACATTAACAAAAGAATTCTGATTTTCCAAAAAAAAAATATTAGACAAAAAAAAAAAAAAAAAGTGGTAGGGCGCCTGGCCAGGACGCCCAGCCCCTGGTGGTGGCGTCTGCTCCGGCCGCCGGGACCAGGGGGCTGGCGTCTGACCTGGACGCCCAGCCACAGCGGTGGCGCCTCTGGAAAACGCCACAACCGTGGCTAGGCGTCCAGGTCAGACGCCATCCCCCTGGTTCCGGCGGCCGGAGCAGACGCCACCACCAGGGGCTGGGCGTCCTGGCCAGGCGCCCCACCTCTTCTGGTTTTTTTAAAAAATTTTTTTTTTTAAAAAAACCCTGCCACCGTGAGCCGTCCTTCCCTCCGCCGCTGTGGCCGCCAAGTCCTTGCCTTGCCGCCTCAACATTGCCGTATTTTCGGGTGATTAGAGTGTGGGTATGGGTTAGATTTTTTTATTTTAGGTTTAGGGCAATAAGGTAAATTCAATATAAATTTGTGGGCTTTATGTGGAGATTTGCGGGCGATGTTTAGCAATCCACTAAAAGTTTAACGCCCCTATATTTGAGATATTTTACCAACTTAGGAGGAAAAGATTGAAAGTTGGCAAAATTTTGAATTATTATTTGATCCCCATAATTGGTAATTAATCTAAGAGGTTTATATGCCATCTTTTAAATATATATATATATATATATATATATATATATATATATATATATATATATATATATATATATATATATATGTATATTATCAAGACATGTTGTGCATAACTCTACGATTTGATTTGTATTCAGTTATGACCCCAATCAAAGACATAGAAGATACATTTTGATGATAGTGAAATTATGTGCATACATTGAGATAAATCTTGCCAATATTTATTACTTGAATCTCTACGTACACCTAAAGTGTAGATCATATGATCGGTTCCAATATAAAGATATAATACATGGCAAGATAGTGCATTTGATATTTTTGAAGAGCATAAAACATTGTTAAATAATATTGTATGGAATACCTTATAAGTAAAATATTGAGATATCTGAATTATATAAGATGGTAAAAAATATGAGCAAAGTATGATGGCGGAAGATGCATTAAGATATTATTGTTGATATAGCATTTAAATGTTACATAAAAGAATTTTATAATACCGGTATATGATGGAACCGATAAATATGCATATGCATTAAGTAATGGACTTGTGAAGAGGGGATCTGTACTATATGTCCATTTTGATGTCGACCTAATTGTGATTATGAAAACTTAAAGAGCTCATGGACCTGAAGTCCAACAAAATATGGATCCTAAAATCCACATTGTATAATGTTTTGCATTTTTTATTCATGTCCATGTATAGGAAGTAAATATGCATCATTCGTCATATACATATATCGTCTATATTCTATCATTGTATGATATTGCTTTATTCACATATCTTTAGTTTTCATATTGCATTTAAAATTATTATCATTGCTTCCAAATCATGGCTTTGATATATAAATGAATATGCCTGATATGCCAAGCATTGTAAGAATAACTTGCATGTTTTATGAAAACCTATAAGAGGAGATTCAAACTCCAATTGAATAAAAGTTTTAAAAATACATAATGTTGTAGTATCATGTTATGAATCATGAATGAAATTAAGGAGAGCTAAGAACTTAGACATTATTTAGTTATATGTCTATCTTTAAAGATTTTACTTTTGAATATTGCAACATTGATGTGATATTATCCAATATTCTATAAGATTATTTTGGACTTAATTGATGACATCTCAACCTGAAGTTTGAGCATGTGAGAGTTGTAGTGTTTTATTATTTGTATTATTAAGAGAACTCTCAAATAAAATATAAAATGTATAAAGAATTGCAATTATGAAATACTTATTCGTGTGAATAATTTTGTTCTAGTCTGGAAGAATCAGAAGCGATGCATTAAAATGATTCATGTAACCGATAATTCTTATTTGACAATAATGGTATCTATATGTTTTGCAAGTGTTTGTAAAATATTGATAAATTTCAGTTATATATTATGACCTCCAGAAGAAGGTACAAGCAATATATGGATATATAAGAACCATAATCTTTATACGAGGAAATTAAAAGTGTTAAAACGAGGTTACTATCAAAATATATGTATTTGAAATATTGCCAAAATATTGGTAAATAAGAAAGAGATTTATACATCATTACATTCTATGTGTATTATCCTCAAAAGTCAGATGACAAGAAGATAATTTAACGATTCAAGTGAAGATTTGAAGACTCAAGTTAAAATTTGAAAAATCAATTATCAATGAAGATTTTGCTGCTACATAGGAGAAGTTGCTTGTGTCAGTATTGGACCCATTGCATTGAAGATCTAAAGAGATGTAAAAATCAGGGGAAAAAATTACGTGCTACACTCTTTTTCCCTTAACCATAGTTTTGTTCCAGTGGGTTTTCCTGGTAAGGTTTTTAATGAGGTAGCATCTCAAGCGTATTATGACGAATGATGTACTCTTTTTCCTTCACTAGGTTTTTATCCCACATGATTTTTCCTAGTAAGGTTTTAACGAGGCACAGTCTTCAATAAGGACATCCAAGGGGGAGTGTTATGAAATACAGTTATATATGTCCATTATATCTTTGTAACTCCCTAGCTTTATTACTTCCTTTGTAAACCCCCCCCATGCCTTTACTTCCTTTGTAACCCCCTTATATTTTTACTACCTTAATCTTTCACATAATGACGTCTTTATATTTTCTTTGAAAAGTTACGACTCACATGTATATATATGTATGGGCATGGACTAATGAAGAATGGACATAGACAATAAAAATAACTCTATAGATCTTTCTTTTACTCTTCCTCTAATTTCATGTATTTCATAACAATTTCATATTTAGATATCTACAATCAAAATTCTACACGATTTACGTCTATTGAAGCGGCTTATATTCGTTTTTTTAAAGCACTTCATTACATATTCTTGTACATCATTAGCATTTAGCCATTTATCGAAACCATTATTATCTACTTAGTAATTAATATTTTAATGTGGATTCTGTAGCACGGGTTAATGATGCTATTATTCTTATAATGTTCGTTCTGTCTCGGCTCACCTTCTCATCAATTTCTTGAAATCAAATCAAGTTGGCAAGCAATATAATATCGCGTATTTAAAGTATTGTGGAATGTCAACTACTTGTCTAAATGTCTACTTCCTCCATTATAGATATTGTAGAATTTCTCGCTTTTTATACATAGATTTATAAATTAATATTTAAAATTATCTATAAGTTAAAATAATTGATATTTTGAAGGTTAATTTCAAAACAAGATTTCATATAATTGTGTCGTTTCTTAGATTCAATCATACAAATAACAATATATGCTTATAGAGGAGTCTATTCGAATTGAATAATGTTAAAGTCTAATACTGTAATATTATGGAATGGGTGAAGTATTAATTATTAGGTGAAAACATACGAACAATCTTAACAATATTGATACTTGTCTCGAGTTTTGATTGAACCAATCTAATAGAGTTTTAACGAGTTTTGATGGCCCTCTTAGTTAGATACAAAGTATTATATTACTCTCTTCCTTTTTAAGAATAAAATAAATTGCAACTAGTACCATTTTGCTCCTTTTGGAACTAGTCTTTTTATTACTACTATACGTATCTCATTAATTGCAAAATCTTTGGCATATGATTATTAGTATGGTCATTTAGACGTTATAATATATAGTTGCCTTAGAAATATCAAGTGTTTTACTTACATATTCAAGTTGATTTATACCCTTGTTACTTTGCCGTTGTTTATGATCCTTAGTGCTAGCTTATTTATCTTCTTATACAGAAAACAACAAACAAACACATTCATTTTTCTCTTAAAATAGTTTAGACAAGAATTATGATCTCCATTTGTTGATTGTACGTGAGTGCACATAATTTGTAAAGTTGTGCAATTACTATATTAGATAGTGTGAAATCGTTTTTAGAATAGAGTTTCCTTTTCATTTATACGATATTCTTCCATCTCCATAATTGTCACATCATCCCGATACACTTATTCTAATTGCTTAACAGAATATGCAACACCGACTAAATGTAAATTTCACCGTAGGACCACCTCGCCGGACCTTTATTCCGGATTTGCCTCTATCTTCAATTTGATTCCTTGCTTAAAAGTTAAAACTCAAAATTATGCAAAGGAAGAGTAAAGCTACGCGGCAATTACCAATTTCAATTTCAAGCCATTACTTTTCACTCTTGGCCCATCTTTTTATTCCGCGTTCACTTTCACTCTCACAAATGAGCCCTTCACCCGTTGAGTATATATAGCCATATGGCCTACATTCCCAACTTCCAATCCTCTCCTCTATTTTACAGTTTTACTCGTACTCGTATTAGTACCCGTTCTCTTACAAACCCGGAAATATTACTAGTAGTTGTCCCCCACCAAAACCCTGTGATTCGCGGTATCCCCCAACTATAAACACCCTTCATTCAATCCCTCCCTCCCTCAACTCTCTCACTCTCTCTCTCCTCCAAAACCCAATCATGGCGGCAACAACAGCAGCACCACCAGCAACAATCACCATCGCCGACGCGAACCCGAACCCAAACAACAACCTCTACGACGTCAAATTCAACGGCAACCACCTCATCAAAACCACCGTCACCTCCGACCCTTCCTTGGTCACCTCCTGGCTCGCCGCCCTCCCCGCCGCCACCTCCGCTGCCGCACCTCTCATCATTGGACTCGACATCGAATGGCGCCCCAACTTCGGCCGCGGCTACGACAACCCCGTCTCCACCATCCAACTCTGCACCACCACAACAACCACCGTACACGGCGGCGCTGGAAACCAATCCCACTCCTACACGTGTCTGATCTTCCAAATTCTTCACTGCCCAAAACCAATCCCAAAACCCCTCTACGATTTCCTCGCAAACGAGAAAAATCTCTTTGCCGGGGTCGGGATTCGATCCGATGTTGAGCAACTTCTGATAGACTACGATCTAGTCGTGAAGAACACCGTCGATCTGGGTCATCTAGCGGTGGAGAAGGTGCCAGGTGTCAGAAAAGGAATGGGGTTGAAAGAACTTGCGAAGATTTTAATGGAGGTTGATGTTCAGAAACCAAAAAGGGTGACTCTGAGTAGGTGGGATACTGAATGGTTGAGTTATCCTCAGATTCAATATGCTTGTATTGATGCTTTCTTGTCTTTTGAAATTGCTAGGAAATTGTTGGCTCTTCCTCAACACCAACACTAATTATTTGTAATTAGTGAAATTTTCTAACTAATTTGTGATGTTCAATAATTAACATGAGAAATGTTTAATTTGTGGTATTATTTTTTTTATGTTTTTAGTATGATTGGATTGGATTGGATTCGATTTTGTGAATTTTTTTTGGTTATGTTGATGATTTTGTTTTTGGAATTGATTGGTTTAAAATTGTGGTGATAATGTTGCTTAATGTTGTGGACTTGTGGGGTTTGGAACTTTGGATTGAATATGTTCAGAAGAGGTAGGCAGCGTGCCGTGTCAAGCCACCGCGGGCTGTGCCTGGTGGTGGCTCGTGCTGGACGGTGCTATGTTGGGTCACCATTTAACCCAGCCCACTGCACGGCCCGTCGTGCCTGCAGACCGCCTAGATTTTTTTTTTTTTTAAATCGATACATATTTTTTTAAAACAACTTTTAAAATGAGTATATTTAAATAATTTATGTTTATGTTTTGTATTATTATATTATTATTGTTCTTTTTACTATTCTTATTTTTTATTATTATATAGTTCTTTTACTCTTTATTATTATTTATGTTAATTTTATCATTAATCTATTATTATAGCCGTTTTATGGCTGTTGGAAGCAGCGAAATATAGCTGTTTTGCATGGGTCGTACCATGCTCGGCCGTGTCTGGCATGCCACGTGCCGTGCCGGCGGGCCAAATTACCGTGCCGTCCACCGTGCCCGTGCCGATTTTTCAAAATTATGTTCACGACACACGGCCCACTCCTTGGTTACCGTGTCGTACCGCTGACGGGCTCGTGCTGGGCCGTGCTTGTGCCGCCTGCGGGCCGGCACGACCCATGCCCACCTCTAATGTTCAACCAATTGGAATTTGTGGTGTTCATTAAGTAATTGCTAGGTTATGAACTTATGATGATGATGATGTTTTGAGTTGGTTTATTGGAATTTTAATGTAATGCTTTGATTGTTTTTATTTTTTTTTCCTTTTTTTTTTGAGTATGATTGGTTACATTGTCAAATTATTTTTTTAAATTATTTGGAATTCATTGGTTTATAATTATGGTGAAAAAAAAAAAAAAAAATTGTTGTGGGATTATTGTAACCTAAGCAAAATAATTTTTTTATCCTTTTTAATGGATATTGGAAGAAAACACAAAATGGTTTTTCTATCTGAAAGTAATTGTCATAGGAATAACAATGTCATATTTATTACGAGTAGTTTAGATCATATTTTGTTATTCAAATAGAAATAATTTAGAAGTATATTTCAAACCTAATTCGACTTAATATGTTATGATAACGACGTGGCGCGATGTGATGGAAAGGATCAAAAGAATCAATATTTGTATAGGAGCATAATAGACTCTACAATGACCTTATTGGAGTTATCATTACCTTATTAGACCAGTGGGCGGATGGACTTCCTTATTATTGGGCAATATTGAGTCAACCTATAAATATCTTTAGTCAATATCGGTGGATCTTTAAATCGTATTATTGGAGGATTTGAGTGGTGTGATTGCAATTTGCGGCTAGGAAAGTAGGAAAGTTTAGGCCATGACTTACTTGTTTAGCTTTTTCTTTTTCTCTATTTTCCTTCACATTAGTTGTTTTCTTTAAAGTTTGCAACAGTAGTTGCTCATTTGTTTCGAGAATTGTCACCTATATTTCACCATAAAAAAATTACAGTGAAATTAAAATTAAATTTCAATTTTGAGGGATTTTCGAATTGAGACAATGCCACAATTAATTTTAGAAAAGTCTTTACTAATGCTCCTATTTAAATAGTGAAATAATGGCCCATTTTGGATCATGGTAGTTCGATATGAAGATTTCATACTTGCATTATAAGACCTTTATATATTATTATTATTATTATTATTATTATTATTATTATTATTATTATTATTATTATTATTTTTAAAAAAATCTTACATGTTAATTTTAAAGTTTTGCAGGTCCAATACTGGCTCGAAAATCAAACCCAGAACTCTTGCCCGAACTTGATACTTTTTAGGCCAGACAATATATAATATATTTTTTTAATCAGCTCTACTTTTGAAAGTTAATCATGGGAATATAGCTTAGTTACACTTTTTGATTTGCATAATTTCTAAACACAATCGGATTTCTTGCAGGGGCGGATCTATGTTCAATGTAATGGGGTCAATTGACCCCACTTATTTTGTAAAAAAAGTTATTATATAATAACATAGAATTATATAATACGAGAAAAGTAATATAAAATTATGATTAATCTATTAAGACCAATAATCATATGTGTCAATAATGAGTTATATAATATATAAGTAGTTTCATGTAATTTGTTAATTTATAATTAATTATAATACAATATATATTTAATTTTGACTTAATTTGAACCCACTTATATAAAATGCTAGCTACATTCACAACTGATTTCTTGTTATGTTCTTGTGTGTGTTGTTGTCTTTCTTATCGTCTGTTTTTGTTCCTAATGATTTATCAACTCCTTGTTGGGTAATGTTGTAATACACGACTAAGGCTAAATATGATTTTGGATTTTTAGAATATTTGATTACCTCTACTAATAAATAGTTGTTATACTAAAAATAGCATTGTTATCCCATTAAATAAAAAGCTCTATTCTTTTTTTTTTGTAACTGGGAAAGAATTAAAATCACAATTCGAAAATAACAAATTACTTTATTAGTTTATCCAGACTAATTAATTACATACATCTATCGCAATGGCTAATAATGCAAAAACTTTTGTTAATATTGCATTTCTTTTAGCTATTGCCTTATCACTCCATGCTATCCAAGGTCAAGTTCAACCCCCAATCGATACTATCTATCAATTTGGAGATTCGATATCAGATACTGGTAATTTTATACGCGATAATTTCATTGGTAGACATTCAAACTTTGCCAATCTTCCATATGGACAAGACTTCTTCCATAAAGCTACTGGACGTTGCTCCAATGGACGTCTAATGATTGATTTCTTTGGTATGTGCTTTTGTTTCCTAAGCTTTCTTAGGCAAATTCTCGTGCATCATATAATGTTTTAATAGTATTTCCGTAATCGATATCATCCAAGGTTAAGTATATGATTGTAATTCTTATCTTTTAAATAACTTGTAATTAGTTAAAAAAAAAAATCTTAATTTACCTCAAAAATAAACATTTCTAACCTTAAATGGCCAAAAAAACAACCTAAGTTTTTTAAAAAGAAAAAAAAAAAAAAAGTACATAACCATTAAGGTCGTCATTTAAAATTTTAAACAATGCATACTTCATCCCCTTTTTCTAACGAAAGACTTTGAAGCCCAAAAATAATTTGCTTTGTACTTAATAATTTTTTTTGTTTTTTTGAGGAAAGTTTCTTAATAATTTTTTTGCACCATTTTCATGCTCACTTTGCATTTGCTGATAATGTCTAGGGAAATGGTAAAACCTGTTCTCCATATTCAATGTTACTATACGCACATATGTAGTAAATATATAGTGTGGGTTTATAATGTTGTATATGCTTCATCCGTTCTCAATTACTTACTAATTAATTAAAAAGTTTCATATTAATTGTCATATATCCAGTCTCGCAATGTGTTCTCTCTTTTATCACTTTTAGCTTCCTTAACATATGTATCTTCCGAATAATTAATAGAACAGAGGAAGTATCTATGAAGTGGGCGAAGTCTAATAAAAAAGTTTCTAATACAAGTATGTTTATTATTTTGCAATGCAGCTGAATACTTCAAGTTGCCATACCTTGATGCATACCTAAACCAGGGTGGTAACTTTAGTCATGGAGTCAACTTCGCGGTTGTTGGGTCAACGGCTCTTACCAGTGCTACCTTAGCACTTAAAGGAATTCTTTCACCTCTCACCTGCAGTTCTTTATCAGTACAGCTTAATTGGTTCCAGTCTCATCTTACTTCTATTTGTCCCGATCTAAGTGGTAATATACTTTCTCTGTGTCCTAAATATTATAATATTTCGACCCTTATAATATTCATATAGTCCCCATGCCGTCTTCAAATAATCTTTTAGAGTAATTAAGTATATATAATAATCACTACAAAAATAAAAGCTTTTTAGCAACTAAGTTTGGCAATAGATTTTTAAAACGTTTCTAAATAGCAACGAAAATATTTTTTTTTTCATTGTCTAATTAAAAGCGACATTTTATGCTTTAGTTTTTTAATAATTAATGGCTACGTGTTTTGATTTGTTGCTATTTAAAACAAATTATCTTATTAGTTGTTACTAGATGGCATCATATTTTTGTGTTGTTGCCATATAGCAACAAACTATGCCAACTGATATTTTATTTGTATTGATTTAGAAACAAACAAAGGCAATGAATTTTTGAATGTTGCCATTAGAAACAAGTCGTCTAAACTATTGTTGCTAGATGATAACGTATTTTTTATTTGTTGCCATTTACCAATGTCTGTTAATGACAACGAAATTTTTGTTTGTTGCCATTGTAGATACTCTTCTTCTTATTTGTTGCTATAATGACATCAAATTCTAGTTTATTGCCATTGGAAACAAGTGTGTTATAGTTTGTTGTTAATTTATATGTAGGCCACTTTTAGCTATTAAGTATAATATTATTTGGAGACACTCTTCTTATTATTTATTGCTATAATGACAACAAATAGAGACGGATTTCAGTTCCGTCTCTAATTTAGGGACGGATTTTTTTATTTCGTCCCTAATTTAAAAACAGATTTTTCAATTCCGTCTCTAATATTTTGTTCACTTATTATCAATTATGTGCATAGTAGTAAACAAACAGTACTTGGTATAGTTGGTAAGAGTTTCACCATGTGACTTTGAGGTCACAGGTTTGGCTCCTACCAACTGCGATTCTTGAGACTGGGGATTCAAAGAGCCTTACATGCAAAGCCGAGCCGAGTTGACCCGAGTGAGGTTTCGGATTGGTCAAGGGATCGGGTTGTAGTGTTGATAGCAACCAATATTAATAATTTGATGCTATTTTTAGGAACCAACATTAATAATTTGTTA